AAAAGAACGTTTAAGGTTGTTTTTTTAAGGACATTATCGGATATGCACTATGGAAGCCATTCTGAAGCGGCCAGGGGGGATTCTGCATGAGCCAAAAAGCAGAGACAGGACCAATCGTCAAAATGTTGGTGTCGATCATTCGATTTCATCCTGGACACTACAGAAAATGGGCTAAAAGTGTTAAAAACCGGAATTTTCCTTTAACAAAGAAAACAAACATGACTTTGTAGAACCATAAAAAAAAAATCTACACCACTCCTGAGATAAAAACCCTGGATTAATCCATCCTGGATGTTGTTAACCGGCTCTAAGCTCAGTTCACCCGTCTTATATTGACTCTTCTGCTATCTCTCTCTGGCTGTTCCCAGTCTCCACCAATGAGCTACGCCTGAGGTGCTCTAAAAACAACATCCCCAGAGCCCGGATCAGAACCTTAAAAATGAGTGTTGTGATCGTCTTGTCCTTCATCATCTGCTGGACTCCGTACTACCTGCTGGGCCTCTGGTACTGGTTCTGTCCTGATGATCTGGAGGATAAGGTGTCCCACTCTCTGGCCCACATCCTGTTTATCTTCGGGCTGGTGAACGCCTGCCTGGACCCAGTGATCTATGGACTGTTCACCATCCACTTCAGGAAGGGGCTTCGAAGGTATTACGGCAACACTGCCTCCGCAGCGGATGTGGAAAACACCACCGTTATAAGTGGATCTTTATATTCTCCTGCCAATTCTTTGTCATTACGAAGAGAGTTCAGGCGGCTGAGTCAGGAAAAGCTAATGACAGTCATATGAAAGCCAAGGCATCCTCTCTGAAAAGCAGCTTTCTGATTATAGACAGTGAAATCCAACAGTCCAGTCCTGAAAGCAGCTTATAATGAAGGGTAGATGGAACATTTAAAGATTCAGAATAACAGGAAGATTCAGGTGTTTCATTCTTACAGGGAAGGTTATAATAAAATCTGTTTTGTAAATGCTAACATGTTAATAACTGTAAATGAAATGCATTGAGTGTGAAAGGCTCCCTTACTTGGTATTTATTTTAAACAGAGAAACAATATTTTGTTTTAAGAAATAAAAGTATCACATATTATTATTTGTATCCTTTTAGTAGCTCAGTGGATGAAATTCTTCAGATCTCTGTTGCTCCATTGCTGCAGCAGTTTCCTGCAGCTTTCCCCATGTTTGTGCCAGAGCTTTGTTCCTTTCATCCGCTGAATGGGATCTTCAGAGGAAAAAAAAAGCAAAAAATTAATGTTCCAACTGTGAGTTTGTCTGATGTGTTCTGATTCATCTTGGGAGTAAAATCCTTGACATTTGTAACTGATGTGTTTTGACAAAATGTTTCCACCCTTACATCTTTTGTGACACTTTAAAGCTTTAGATCGAAGAAAATGTACAATAATAATGAGAAAAATACAAGCTAAATAAATACAAAAAAGGTATTAAAACAAGTCTGACTGCGTGGATCATTACAACCCCACCCCACCACCCGTAAATTATGAAATAAAAGATTTAACACTAATTGACTAGCGACCTTAAGGCATAATAACTGCTTAACCAGCGCAACTGGTGTAAGGTCACATAAATACAGCCTGTAAACATGAAGCAGACTGGGAGATCTTATGTATAAACACAGCACTATTTGGCAGTCTGCAAAAGGTGACTACAGCACATCACCAAGGCGCAGTGAAAGTACCAGTAAGGATTACAGATCAAGAAAGCATGAAGCAGTGGGGAATCTTCCTAAGGGAGGCTTGCCTGCTAAAATTACTCTACAAGTGCCACCACAAATTCATGCAGGAGGTCATAAAGAGCAATAAAACAAATCTGCCGCCTTTGCTCAAGTTAATTTATTGAACAATTTTATGATCCCGGACTTTTTCCAAGGTTTTTACGGCACTAGTGGCTCAATTTTTGTATAGAGGGCTGACAGGAAAGGGGGTATAAGTGAAGCACTGGTTATACTGCTGCAGCAGTGTGTTGCAGTTAGCTTGTCGCAGGTATGACACAGATATTTTTGATTTATGCCCAATATTGAAGCGTGGTCTGTGCTATGTTATTCAACGTCAAAACACAAGAGGAACAATCACCAACTAGCTGTGGGTCTGGATACC